ATATAGAGAACTACACAGAGAACAACTTAAACAACGTTTTATGTTTCACATCTGCCAGGCTATCGCGACGGCTCACTTTTTTAATAATATAGTTAAAAATGCACATTTGTTGCCGAGATAAATTTATTTGTATTTTGGATTTCCTATATTATGTTTAATGGTATAATATTAAAATGTGTAAATGGTTATACAGTTTAAATACAACTATTTAGGTTACATATACTATAACTTTTAACTATATAATATCTAAGGATATATTTGATAAGAAATTAATATGATAAATTATAAAATTTTTATGAACATATACATCACTATACTTACTATTCCCGGCTATAATGTAAGGCTATATTTTTACCTACTATTAGTATTAATTCTTATCTTGAATAGGCTAAAAACATAATAATATAAAAGTTTATAAATAATTATTATTTATTTATATTTTATATTATAAAAAAATAATATGCTGCCAATGTCTGTTATTAATTTCCTTATAGTCGATACAAGCAAATTGTTTATTTCTTGTTAATGTTTATATTTCAATTTCGTTAAAAAAAAAATTTAAATTATATACGTAACAGTTTTAACTTTCATTCGAATAATATTAAATTGTTCCGATTGCCGTTTTAATTTGTAATTTGTTTAAGTTTTCCAAAATTATTTTTAACTTCCTTACTTTCTTTAAGTTTGTTGAAAATGAATTGTTCTTTATATTTTCAATATTTAAATATTTAGATACATATAGGTGCACACATCAACAATGAAATAATGCAATTTTAAATGAACAAAAGCTATTATTTATCAGAACATGGATCCAAAATAGTACTGTACGTACTTTGATGTTTTATAGCTATTGGCAATATGGAAAAGTTAATGAGTCCACGTGATAATAAGATATTATTTAAACTCAGCCAATTTAAATTTGGTACCCATAAACAGTTTAAACCAAGTAAGTAATGTATTTTGTCATATTTTGTGTATAGTATATTTTTGTAGTAGCATATAAAATAATATATAAGTAGGTAGGTGCTATAGATTTACACTTATTAGAGTATACTTACAAGAATAGCATCTAAATATATGCTATATGTGTATAGCACCTAAATAGTTTTTTTTTCTAACCCTCCGGACCCTCCTTCCGGATCTAATTCCCGACAGCTGGCTTAGAAGATGACCTGTTAAAATGACGAATAATACAGCAACCAGAGGTTTTCGGCGATTTGGTTTTAGATGAAAACGAAAATTGTCCGAGGTGCATCGTCCACATTATTCGTAATGAGTAAATTAATTATTGTATTTAATTTTCATATTGTCTTCATCTCCCTGTCAAACACATCACAGATTATTGCCGGATGGTCTCACTCACTTATTATTAGCTGACTTTTTACGGGAGTTTTTTTTATTATTTCAAATATTATGTTGTTGTGTTTATAATTTTTTGTATAATAATATTATGTATAAGTGTTAAAATTAGTTGAACAGTGGGAATCGTATTTTTAATTTCTTCTTTGAGTGATCTAAAATTATTTATTGCATTAATGGTATTGAATAGGCGCTAATCTCTGTGTCCTTTTTTAATATTATTTTATGTTGCACTCTTATTACTGCTAAAATATTATAATACACATCCAAATTATCCATATTTCGTATCATGTGTGCAAAACATCACTGTCTACATTGTAGTTTTGTAAAGCGTGTACCCCTCAGTATTATCGTAGACTTGAAAACGCTCTCATTAAATATAACTTCAACTTAATAATAACGCTGCAGCATCTCAAATAGGTGTCTAATTATTCTCAATATAATATTATATCATTGGAAATTATTTATTATTACTTTAATATTATAATATATTATACTATTATAGGGCCAGAACGCTATTGTATTTATTTTTCAATCGTCATTTACGTAGTTTATTGATTGTTTGCCCAAAAAAGACTATACTTAGGTACTTAATTTCAGAGTTCATCTTTGGGCCGAGTCCCGTATATTTCCATTAATAATTTCTTATTATTCTTTCATTATAATCCATATGCTACGATTAATTTATGTTTTTTTTTATTTATTTTTTTTTTTTTTGAATTATAAATATTATTATACAGCAACATATTTTATACTACCAGAAACTTCACACAGTAACACTATACACAATACACATTAACCCATTTACCCACTTATACCCACCATGGCACCATGCACTGCACTCGATGGTATAAGCAACCCAGGCCACTACCTTTTAAATACTAGTAAATATATATATTGTAAAGAATATTGGACAGGTTTGAATGAAAGTCAATGAATAGTGAATCCTGTCGGAAGTTGGTGTTATAGTGGTTGGTGAGTATAGAAATAGGATCTTAGTAACCATGTGGATGTTAAATAAAATTAGAGAAATAATAATAATAGTAATAATATAGTTATAGTAGTTATAATTATAGTTATAGTTATAGATATAGATATAATTATAGTTATAGATATAGTATTAGGAGTTAGGACAGTGTTGAATTTAAATAAGTATAAAGGTATCATCCTTTAAATAATTTCAAATTACTGTTATTATCAATAAGTTTTATTAACTATTCTCAGCCCCGTCACATGGTCGTTATAAATTCAAGGAGTAAAAACGATTAACCCTCCTTAAATTATACCCATTCTCAAATCCCAAACAAAATTTGACCCACTTTTATACCCCTTTTCTCGTATACCCGCAAATAATTGTACCCAGCAACTGTTCGTATATTAAATGCGTTTAAAGACCAGCGATAATACAGAGCAGAGGTGCCACCTACACATCAATGTAGCGAAATTGCATATAAGTAGCGCCGGCTAACAGATGTTAATATTACAATGATTAAAATAATATTAATATGAATGTAACAATTAAAATTATTTTGCAGACCATAAAGTTCTTTTTCGTGTTTAAGTTTTAGACTCAACAAAGCAAATTATACGTGAATCATATTAATATTATACCATGTCCACCGATTTTATTTCAACAGAATTTCTTAGTGAAAATATTTTATCAAATAAAATTTTTAAAAATCGGATAAGTGGGTGTCGCTTTGCTGTACTACAGTAATTTACACATTGGTGACTGAAATGGATAGTGCTAAATTTGAATTCAATGATATAATATCATTGTATAAGAAAAACGATTCTGAGCGTCGATGATTTGTCAGTCTGTGATATTATATTATATTGTTGTTATTAATAATACAATAGCAGCCGCTAAGTAGAATTAAATGTTATAAATATTATATGCATTATTAGGTATAATATTTCAATATTTGTACTTAATAATATAGGTACTTGAGAAGTTTCAATTCCCCACGAATATTATTTTAAATTTCAACAATATAACTAAAATCATTATTCTCATTATTTAATATGTGATTTTGTATAAATTTAAACTTAAAATAATAATAATAAACTGTATTTATATATTTTTAGATTTTTTTGATAAGTTATGTTAGGTTTATATATTAATGTATAGTTTATTAAATCTTAATATTTTTCTCATATAGATTACACTTTTGAAGATGAAGCTGGTATGTCTATTGAGATTATTATAGACTTTGGTGAGGTCCTATACTTCTACAAATGGCTATTTATTCTGGAAGTCCGAGGGTGGACAAACCACGCAGTTCAACAACCACATCACCAACAATAAATACAACAACAGCGGCTGCAACCAGGCCAACATGGTGGTGACCCTACAGGTGTCGGGTAATCTATATGTATAAGCTCATTACTCATGCACGAATTTCGGGTGCTACCAATATTATTTAAATAAATATATAATAAACATAAAATCTGTATTTCAAATTACAATGTGTATATAATGTTTAAAATCCACTTTTCTCCGACCTAACCAGTCTCGGATCCGTGGTGGTCAGTACGCTTTTAGTGTTCGACCGTAAGGGTAACCTTACAATTGTTCTCAAAAAGGGAATGTATTCTTTTTCCAAAATGGATATATTTACTTTTGTCCGTGACGTTTATTTATAAATATTGTAAGATCAACCTCTTAAATATTGAAATGGTATTATTTCAGATAAATTTTCCACAATTCTTCTTATTTGTTATCATGCTTCTTGTTACTTTTACGTCGTGGTGGACTTGATTCTCTCGATAAACGTTTTTCCAACCGTATAAAGCTGCTCAAACGCCCAGCTAGAGTTTAGAAACGAAAATCCTACCTAATCAACAGATCAGACCTCTACCATTTTTATATTAGGTACTTTTTTTTTGATGAAGGTAGAAAAACTTGTTGGGAATCAAAATGTCTAATGTTAATTATCAAATTAAAGATTTTTATTAATTTCTAACTGAAAAATAATTTTTAAGTTTAACATTTTATATGTTTACTACTTAGGTATAATTTATATTTATAATATATATTTTATGTAGGTATAATAGAAAATAAAATACGAAAGTGTCATCAATTGGTGGATTCTTCATTAAAATTGTTCATGTTTTCTTTTTATATAGGCAGATCATACTGTTATTGTACCTGCTGAACCATGCGCTGGTATGTGTTGTGTATAAATAATAAAAAAATAAAAATAAAAATGTATAGAATATCACAAATTACAAAGCGTTCTGTAATATATATTTTTACCTGACCATACAAAGTGTCTGTGTTATAGATTATAAACAATATTTTGTAATACTGTACTACTGTACCCAGGTACAAAATTACCGTTTACCATTCATTATTTGTTTTTACTTTGTGTAGGTATTTTAAAGTCGGAATATAATAAATAATTATGTGTCATTAATTAAATATAGCCGATACCTAGGTATATTTAGAAAATATAATGTAATATACTAACATAATACAAATTAAGCTAATACTCGAAAAATAATTGTATTTGTTATGAGTTATGTAATAATAATGATGCGCTTAATATGATAGCATGCGTTTATTATAACGAACATTTTACAACTGCCCGCGATCGGGCGTGTGCATCTCTTTAACGTCTTATTAGATTTCTAATTTGTTAACACAAATTTGTTTCGAATGCTTCTAGCCATTTCGAAGTCGCGTCGATGACAACCAGAAAGTTCTTATTTTTATAAGGACCTAAAAAATCCACGTGCAAACGTGTCCACGGTTGCTCCGGCCATTTCCACGGGGAGAGTACGGCCCTCGGCGGTGCCGGTCTTATTTGGATACAATTTTCGCACCTACGCGCTATGTCCTCGATGTCGCTGTCGAGCTTTGGCCACCAGAAATACGAGCGTGCTATTGCTTTCATGCTGCTCATACCCGAATGTACAGAATGTAACTCTCGCAATAATGCCGCTCTGAACTTGTCGGGAATTATAATTCTATACCCCCACATGAGACAGTCTTGTTCAGTCGTTATTTCATGTTTGCGCGAGAAATACGGTTTTAGGTGCGCGTCCTTGTGCGCGTCCGTCGGCCAATTATCGGTGTTAATGGCTCTAATTACACGCGATAAGGTGCTATCGACGCGCGTTTGTGTTTTTATTTTATGCCAATTAATTATAAACGGACAATTATCGTGTATAAAATTCACGCATTGTTGTTCGGGCGGACTGATACCGTAATTATCAAGCTTTATTCGCGATAAAAAATCTGCCGGGTTCTGTTCGGATTTAACGAAGACTATCTCGAAATCAAATGCTGATAACACGTATGCCCATCTTTGCAGTCTATTCGCGGCGTACATCGGGATGCCCTTTTTGTCCCCGAATATATGGTACAGTGGCTTGTGATCCGTTAATAGCGTAAACTTGCGGGCGTACAGGTAGTCATAAAATTTTTGAATGCCGTATATAATGGCTAAACCCTCTTTCTCTATCTGTGGATACCGGCGCTCGGAAGACTCACACAAACTCCTGTACAGTCTTTGTCTACCAGCAGACCCAAATGATCTACCTTTCAAAACATTATCAGGTCTGTTGTCCGATCATTTCGAGCCAAAAAAATCGTATTTCGCAGCACGATACCTGTTCTATCAAGCACGAAAATCAAACGACGAGAGCGTAGCCCAATGGGGTGCACGTTTAAGGGACCTAGCATCGAGATGTAAATTTGGCTCGGAACTGGACATAGTGATCCGCGATATTTTCATGGTCGGAATGGGGCCGGGAAAAATACAGGACCGGTTGCTGGAAGAAGACGCTTCAAAGTCGAATGTAACACTCGCGAAACTCATGGAAGTAGCTACTAACAGAGAAACGACGGCAAACGCTAGTAAGCAATGGGCTGCAAAGGGGTCACCTGTAACTGTGAACTTCACGAAACCAACGCAATCCAAAGCCAAGCGGTCATACCAACCCACCCCCCAAGGTAGAGGAGAGGTAAATACGTACAACGCTAGTGACAAGAGGAAATGCCAAGTCTGCGGACGGACAAACCACACCTCAAGCGCATGTAAGTTTAAAAGTTATTCTTGTAATACGTGTGGTACCGTGGGACATTTAGCACCAATGTGTAAATCGAAAGTAAAACCCAACCAGGGGGGAAGAAATAAAACACAAAATAAATTTATGTCGGAAAAAGTAGACACCGATTCGGATTCGTGCGTGCAGTTAGGAGATTCTTTTTTTTCAATTAAAGAAAATTCCAATGACAACGTAAAAATAAACCCGTTTAAAATAACTTTAACAGTAGAAGGGAAACCAATTACGTTTGAAATCGACACAGGTTCGCTATACAGCATAATATCGATGAAAACGTTTGATTCCTATTTCGGAACGAAAACGTTAGTAGATAACGATATCGCATTAACGGACTACGTCGGCAATAAAATGACACCGGCGGGCAAAGTACAATTAGCGGTTACTAATAATAATGAGTCAAGGTCGTTCTGGGCGTACGTTATTCCGAACGGCGGTCCGCCTTTAATAGGCAGGAACGATATAGTTTCGCTAGGTATCGAAAATATATATTCATGTAATTTCAACGCTGAAACCATAGACTCAATTTTGGGTAAGTACAAACAGTTATTCGAACCGGGCACTCGGCACTTTTAACGCGTATACCATATCGTTAAAATTGAAGCCAGGGGCTAGTCCGAAATTTTGTAAGCACCGTGCGGTTCCTTTAGCCCTTAGAGACAAGGTAATAACCGAGATTGAACGTTTAGTAGAAAATAACACGTTGATTCCAATCGATAGTTGCGAGTGGGCGACACCGGTAGTACCAATTTTAAAAGGTGACGGGTCGGTGAGATTGTGTGGCGACTATAAGATAACGATAAACCCGGTTTTAAACGGCACGGAATACCCGCTACCTAAGATGGAACACCTTTACGCTAAGATTGCGGGCGCGAAGTATTTCTCCAAAATAGATTTGAAAGATGCGTACCAGCAACTACTTCTTGATGACGACTCACAGCGGTTCACAACAATTAACACAATTAAAGGTTTGTTTAAATATACGCGGGTCCCGTTTGGGTTAAAGTCATCAGCGGGAGAGTTCCAAAGGGCAATCGAAAGTGTTACTAGTAAAGTAGAAGGAGTTGAGGTCTTTATAGATGATATTATAGTATCTGGTAGTACGGTAGCGGAGCATAACGCGAGACTCAATAAGCTACTAAATTGGTTAAATACGGCGGGTCTGAAAGTTAAGAAAGAAAAATGCAACTTTCTACAGAAATCAATCGAATACCTAGGACACAAAATCGACGGGGAGGGCCTACATACGTTAAGCAAGCACGTCAACGCAATCAAAGGGGCACCAGCACCTCAAAATAGGTCAGAGTTGAAAAGTTTTTTAGGGCTAGTTACGTATTACGCGAAGTTCATAAAAAACGCGGCCCAGATACTCACACCGTTGTACAACCTGTTGAGAGAGAACGTAAAATGGTCGTGGTCGCGAGACGCAAGCCAGGCATTTAATGATATAAAACGAATATTATCTTCTAAACCCGTATTAGACCACTATAACCCAAATATACCGATTAAATTAAGTGTAGACGCCTCTTCGTTCGCAATAGGCGCGGTGTTATCGCAAATATACGACAACAAGGCGGAGAGACCGGTGGCATACGTTTCGCGGGTCTTATCCGATCACGAGGTAAGCAATATGGCTTTCTTTTTTGTTTCATCGGTGATGCTGTTCGCTCCGAAAAAGTTGCGTAATCGTGATAAAAATATTCTTATGTCCGTGTCTAGTTCAAACGTACCAGGGGAGCCGATCACTTGCGAATATAAAATTTTGGTTATAACTGACTGCGGCGCATTTTCACTTTGACCATCTTGCTGATCACCCGCCATTTATATTATATTGTATTTGATTTTACGAATGCGTGTACGAGAAAAAAAAATATATGGTTTTTTTCGTCGCCAATTTGTTATGAGTTATGTAATAATAATGATGCGCTTAATATGATAGCATGCGTTTATTATAACGAACATTTTACAACTGCCTGCGATCGGGCGTGTGCATCTCTTTAACGTCTTATTAGTGCGCTGGACAATCCCCACCGCACCTTACTAAGATAGCTGTTATAACAATATAACATTTACTTTTATAATAATTATAATACTATTAATACTGGTTATGATTACAATAACCACCGTGGGTATCGGTATACAACAGTATTTATCAGGTATTCAGGACAGTTAACTGTGAAAATAAGAATTTTAAGTTCAAAAGTTACCCAGTATATAAAACAGTAGTATGTAACTGTTTATTTAACCTTAATAATAAGTACTTATTAATGATTTGGTCATTAACCTTTTTTTCTCAGTAATCACTAATCAATCGACATCAGTGTACTTCTTTTGAAAAATAGATGATCTATCAAAAGATAGATGACATATTATAATTAATAAATAAATAAAAAGACAATAAATTACTTAAAATATTTTGATTATATTATGAATAATTAAAGAAAAAATGACGAATGTAAAAAGTTTTTACTTTAAATTATAATAGAACAAACAGGCTATTTACTTGGATGTATATCAAATATCATGTACATTCAATATTTAAAATAAAGACAAATTGATTGATATACATAATATTATTTACAATTAATATTAAAGTGTCTGACGACGACGACGACGACTGCAGTATTTCCGGACAAATGCACTCGTCGCAAAAAATATTAACGCAGGGCGAGTCCTTCTCCTGCAGCAGATCGTCCCACCACTTCTATTATAATATTGTATTGTATATTAAGTGTAATATGTTTGTATAACGTTCTGCACACTCGAAGCGAGTCCAAAGTCGTAAAATTATCGTTTGGGTGCTCGACTCATACTCGTACAAATCGACTTTTCATCGCCATGCACCCACATTCACCTCCAACAGCAGCAGTTGAACTCGATCGAGTGCCTTCGTTCACAGGAAGCAGGTGACTATGGACTTGAGCCCAAACATCGACGATATCTGATAGTTGCGGTACATAATGCAACCGTCGTCCACCAGTACGGGGTAAATCTTGAGGGCCAGGAACATCGTAACGGTCAGCGTGATAGTGGTGACCACGTGGTTAGGTATGGACCTTGTGTTGGCCGAGAACAGCTTGCAGTTGATAGTGGACTGCAGCCAGCCAAGTCCGATTATGTGCGAGACCGACAACCCTCCGACGGCACCTACGCACGACCACCCGTTATCGGTTACGTCGTACGCGGTGCAAATGTCCGCGACAGCTTGTATGCTTGGACGGCCACGTGCATCTCGGCGAACGTGATGGACGTGAACTATATGATCGAAGTGACGCCGGCTGTCACCCGGAACACGGGTAGGCCCTGTACGACGATGAGCGCTTTAAGTCTTACCCAGTCCCTGAACGGCTTGGTGAAGGACGCGTTGCGCATTTCCTTGCATATGTACTCGACCATGGCGTCCATCTCATTGGCTACCGTACTGTCATCGTCTCGCAACCAGACCAACACCCGTTTGGCGTCCGCTAGCCGGTTCTTCATAACATACGTGTGAGGGGACTCGGGTATGGTAGCGAACAGTGCGCAGAACGCCACCGGGTCCGCCATCGCGGCATTCGTGAGCCGCGTATAATCCGGATACATGCCAGCCGCACACGGGTACAATATGGTTAGCCACCTGGAATGCACTTGATGAAAACCGATTCTTCATGATGTTGGTTATCCTAAAAAAAAATATTATAATTATTTAAAATCGTTTTTTTTTTTTTATCATAAAAAACTAACTTGGCCATCCGGTAAATTTGACGGTGTCCACCTCAACCGATCTGGGTCGATATGAATTTGTTTTAATTCAATTTTCTTCTTTATGTGGGAATCTACAACATTCCAGTCTATGCATATGGTCATTTCTTTAAAGATTTCCACAACCATGTGTAGAGATTTGAACGTGTCTATAATATCTTGTCTCATTAAACCTAAATTAAAATTGTTATTAATATTATGATTGTCAAAATTCTGATTAAAAAGTTTCAAATAAAATGTTTTTAAATTACCAGTTTCACTGCTAACATCATTGATGCATATGTTGTCAATGCCTCTGTGTTTATCTAAATATTCTAGAATAACACCTTTCCAATATGCATCGTACGTCATTTTTCCCAAGCCGGAAAGGGGTGTTTCCGGGGTTCCCGGTTGTCTTTCGATTCTAGATAGAAGGTAACCTGAAAAAATAAACTAAACATGATATATGCTAAAACGCCTAGGTCCATATAGTTTTCACTTACTGAATTCGATGAGAATTCGTCCATACCCTTGTCTTCGATACTGTGGCATGATAACGATACAAGCTACATTAAAATGTTCTTCATTTTGTTTTAGTTTTGAAAAATAACCAACCAAATGACAGCCCTTAACATTTTTAATTGAACATTATTACAATATAATAATGGTAGACAAATATAAAAAAAAATAAAAAGTGAATTACCGTCTTGCGACGGTAGACAGAATTGAATACATCTACTAATAAATTTGGACTATTGACTTGTATTAAAATTTAAAGTTATATAATGGGTGGACTTCTAATTGGGCCCAGAAAAACAAAAACACACATACACATAAATATAAATATATTAATGTATGGACTTAAGATATTAATTTTAATTGACAGCGTTACATATTTTGTTATAGTATCGCTCAATGATTCTTTTAAGCGTTTAGTCACATGATTCGAGCGAAGGGCAGACCCTGCCAAGATTAGTTTTCAGTTCGAAAATTACAATTTAAAATGTATTTATTTAGGTACACTTACAAAACCGTCGTTTTTCGTCACAATATAAAATAAGAACGGTTCAACACCATAGTCCAGAGTTTTTAGGTCCAAAAATAATTTCCCCAATCGACATAGTGTTTGGCAATAAGTTTTGTCTACTTTTCCATCAACCTGTTTGAAAAAATAAATAAAAAATTGTGTAGGTAGTTTTTCTCTAGTGAATTGTTTCATAAAATTAATTTACTTCAAAAACGCTTAAATCTCCACTTTGGTAGATCTCTGTGCCTGGTGGTGTTCTCCAATTACAGTGTCGCATATGTCTTTCCAAAATCGATTGACATTTAGTGTATTTTAAACAAAATTCACAAAATATTAATCTCGGAGAATCCTCCTCTTGCGGGAATGGGCATGAATAACATGTCTCCACTTCAAATTTTCCAAACTTTATTACACCAGGACATCGTACTGGAGTTTGAATTGTACTCTACAAATGTACATTATAGAAATATAAGACTTCATATAATATTAAAATAAAATAAATAATTTAAATTTTACATTCTTTTCGGTTGTTCTAGTCCGCTTACATATTTTGATATCCCCGTTCACAACTCCAGATGGTAAGTCTGATGCAACAGGTCGGATTATATTTTCCAGAACTGAAAATTGTATTTCATATTTATAACTAACTACTGAGACTGGTTAATAAGCCAAAAGAGTTAAGTACAGCATAAATAGTCACTAATATAAATTGTTAAAGTACATGGCAGAACACATATTAATACTGTTAAAAAATACAGCATAAATAAGTAATCACGCTTAATAATAATATTATATGCTTATTTATCCTGTAATTTGATGAACAATTTCC